GACCAGCTGAGGCAGAGCCAGGGGGACTGTCTCTGCTTGTCCGGTCACTGAGAGACATGAACGAGAAAATGCGATGCAACCAGTCACAGCTGTTTTCTGTGTTGCCGCGATATGCAGTTGCATTGTTGGAGACATGCGTGTCAAGCTACGGCATAGGGGACAAGGTTACACGTTACCTCAACACAAAACCTTAAATCAAGCTTTAATGTCGCTGACTGTGAACTGACCATTTTTCAGAAGACAACTTTATCATTTCGCTGATCATAGTCTCTTATCATCTGACCGTACTCTGGTTATTTCAGTGACAAGAATCTCTGCACCTCGACTCCGTGGACCGTCTGACAGAAGCCTGACATATCTTGTACCATCGATAACCTGTGTGTGTACCTGTAGGAATGGGAGGGGCCAGGCCGGCCATGTTGGGCTTGATGTCGGGCAGGAAGGAAGAAGGTGTTGGCTTGACATCACTGTTGCCAGGTGACATGTAAGGCGTGGCCATGGAGCTGCTGGGGGTGATGGGAGGAGTCGGGTTACCAGGTACTGGGGAGGAGGGGTAACCTGGCAACCCTCGACCAGGCTGAGAGAGAGAGAGAGAGAGAAAGAGAGAGAGAGGAGAATTCAAGAGTTTAGTGACAGCTGATGTTTTCCTTCCATGTGATGTGAATACAAGTAGCAACAAGCAAACATCAGCAAAATGCACTCAATCTGTCAAATGAAGCCCAGTATATACACAGCCAAAAGTAGCCTCTGAACTGATTCACATACAGTTGAAGTTTTTAAGCCACTCCACAAACTCTTGTTTTGCCAACGGCTGCTACAGATGATTTCACTATATCACAGTTGCAGTGAGTCAGAAGTTTACATACACTCAGTTGACTGGGCCCTTTAAATAGCTTGGAACATTCCAGAAAATGTCACATCATGGCAAAGAGAATTGACGGGTAAATTTAGCCAAAACTCTGCAGGATGCACCCAGCGTGGACGCTGTTCGCTGTCATGAACCACCCCTGGTTCTAACAGGACGGTTGTTGCTTCTCCACTGTCGCCATCTAACAGCCCAAAAATTGATGAAAATAAAAACCGCTCTCACTGCGGTTCCTCAGCAGCAGAAAGCGTCACGAAGCCGGGAGCTCATCTCGGCAACCACACACAGAGTCAGAACTGTCCAGGAGTGGTCTCAGCCCGTTCATGTCCAGATATGATCTGAGACAGGGACACTCCAGTACGTGGACACTGGATGACAAAGACTGTCGATAAATGCTCTTCCAACGAGGCGCCACCAAGACCGTCCTCTTCCCTGGTGCAACCTTTGGGATGCCCCAAAATCAAGGCCTCCATGTGTGAACAGGGCTACAAGGACTGAGAAGATGTGATCCTGACAGACATGAGTTAAGAGCTGGACAGGATGAAAAGCTATGATTTACAGGAGTGTTCTGACAAAAGGATCCACAGATTGTCAATGTGCACTGACGTCAGGTGCAATTACATGGACAAGGAGAGATCGAACGGCTGAGAAAAAAACGGGCTGTTCTCTCTGATTGCTATCAAAGCGAATGGACTTGGAACTGCCCTGGTTTCCTGCTCCGACCATTGGCACACACTCAGAGCTGCTCTTACCCCAGACGGCTGGTTGAAGGAGTTGTAGACACCACCACCAGCGCTCCCTGTGGTCAGAGCGTTCAAACCTCCACCCTGACCGTAAAACTGGTCCTGCTGCACAAACACAGAACAACTCATATTAATTTCAACTCATATGTATAAATAACCCCCCGCCCCACACGCGTGCACACACACACAGCATGTGCAGCAGCAGCTCGCCGGTTTCAGCCTAGTGATGCTGAAAGAAAAACATTTGTGATTAACATTCCTCACCTTGTAGTATTGTGAGCTGGGGGGTCCAGAGGGGGGGTACTGTGGGAGGGGCATCTTATGGCTCTGATATGAGGGGGAGGAGCCAGAACGCTGGGGGGCGGGGCCTGGACCACCAGGACCTGCAGGCACACAGAACAGATCCTGAAACACTGGCCCTGTGCTACAGTGACAGCAGCTCTTCCAGCCTCTGTGCTAAGCTACGCCAACCACGTCCTGGCCGGGGCAACATATAAAAGGGATCTCCATCAACCGTACTCATGCAACCCCGTGTCAGCTCACCCCCACCTCCATGTTTCACATTACGCGGTCGTGGCCACGCCCACACCAACGCCGGACCCATCTGATCCAAGCTTGTCTGTTCTGGTTTCACGTGACCACAGACTGCGCTGCCAATGCTCATCATGCTCACTATCATCTGGGCTTTGTACCGTGAAGAGCACTTCTCTTCTTGGCAGTCAGACGCAAACTCCAACACCTCTGCTCCGCAGTCCCCATCTGTGTTTCACTGCCAGGCTGCATCAAGACTGACCTGTGTGCCGACCACTGCTCCTCCTGTTACTGGAGTGCGGCTCTTTCCATGCTCATCAGGCTTCACCGTCTGGCTTGTGGCTGTTCAGGCCAGTGTGAAGGCTCTGGTGTTCACAGGCTCTTTTACAGGCCAGGTACCTTCAGTTTACCTTCACTGATTGTGCATGTGTTGCACTCTGGAGCCCATTTTTCCAGCCTTTTGGTTTTTAATTAAACATAAGCTCAGATATAAACACTTCAACTTGTTGTCAGATGGTACAGTCTGGAAAGATTTGCCATCCCAGTGATATTCCCACTCAGTCTGGTATGCACTGAGCTTCTTACACAGTCAAACCTGCAGTGACGTCCCCGCCACCTGCAGATGTCTTACCTGGGTGGTACTGCATGTTGGGTCCAGAGTATGGGCCGGGCCCGGCATGACCACCTCCACCTGAGCCTGTCATCGAACCAGGGACACCGCCAGGACCTGACATCATGCTCACACTGGAACCGACGGGAACACCGTACTGCTGAGACATTCCCGGGAAAGACTGGGAGACAAAAAAGTAAATGGGCATGATTTTATATCTTGTACAGTAACTCACACAGGTTTACTATGTTCACATCAGTGAGCCTCCTACTCTACTGTAGCACCACCTAATCAGAGTAAATCACGGTTCATCTGGATGTAATCACTTCTAAACCTTCTTAATTTCTGCTGTACATTGGTCTCAGGCCCTGATTTCTGTGGGACTGTTACCTGTAAAGTATTGGGAATTGAGTTAACCTGTTTGAAAAGCTCCAACACACAAAATTTGATTAATTAACAAGTTTATTTAACTGGCCTCCCATTAGCCAGTACAAATCATCAAACTCCAAGGCAAAAGAAAAATGGAAATGCAAAGAACCAATAATAATTGTATTTCTCAGCAGCTGTTTCCTGGTCACCTCTGCCTCTGTTTGAACTCAGATGAGTATTACTGCAGTACACATGTAGCACACCCCCTAACGACTGCCAGACCTCTGCCTGCGACTGTGGCAGCAGGTTTGGTTCCTGTTCCAGTTCAACAGGTCAGTGTAATCGTCTCAGTTCAGTCCACTGACAAACCTCCAAACTCTCACCTCGGAGTTGTAGGGCCGTTTGAGTCCCTGTGGGGGCCTCAGGTGGCCCTGCTGTGGTCCAGGTCCATAGTTTGGGTGCTGAGGGACCCTCTGGGGGCCACCTCCAGGTCCATACATGGGGCCCATTGAGGGAGGACCTCTGGTGGGGCCCGGACCAGGGCCCATACCTCCAGGAGCCATACCAGGGGGACCACGAGGGCCAGAGTGGGCCATGAACTGGTTGTTGTAGGCTGGGCCCCCCATCTGGGAAGAACACATACACAACAGACTTAGAAAACAGAAACTTGGACCCTGCAGTGTTATTACATTGTAGTCCTGCCCCACAACGTCTGTGTCAGCGTTTTGCAACCGGCAGCGTGCGCTGTCACCTCACGGCCTCGTCGGCTGTCGGCTACAGGAACAAACTGCTCCAAAGGCTCAGAACAGCCGTCAGTGTCCACAGTGTCTGAGGCGAGACAGACTCGCTGGTCTCAGCTCCTCGCTGCTCAGAGCGATGTGTCAGAGCTGCATGTTGGAAACAGACGCCTCCCATGTTTCCTGAGCAGGAAACCTGGCCCCAGTGCCACGGTGTGGCTCACCGGGGGGGGGTTTAACAGTGGACAACAGTGGAAGTCTACGGCTGAACCAGGGTCTGGATTCACACATTATGGTGAGGACACCATGTTCACTGGTGCTGCTGGTCTCTGGACGGGGTTGGTGGGGGAGTAACAGAAACTTACAGAGTCACCAGCTACATCCTATAATGTTAACAGAAATTAATCAGTTACTGGGAGACATCCACACAGGCAGCAAACCCTCGTCCCCTCACCTGTCCGTAGTTCATCTCCTGGTTTTGTTTCTCCTGGATGGCGGCGACGGTTGCCGTGGCAAGGGCACGTGTCGGGGGCGGGCACGCAGCGGCGGCAGCGGCAGCAGCTTGAGTGAAGTCAGCTGATCCTCTGGAGCCGCCGGGGTTGGACGGGTAACTGGACACAGATATATGGAGGACACAGTTTATAGATTGTGAGTCTTTGTTGTGATGTTTTATTTTTGACAATAAAAATGTGAAACGGACAACTTCAGCTCTGTTGAAACAAATTCTCAAAATATGAAATAAAACATTTACTAAATCAGATACAGTATTTAAGTACCACTGTATGTATGATTGTGTCGGAAGTACATCATAAAACTTATGTAATGAGCATTCACTGAATGGTCACTTTATTAGGAACACCTAAGTCTAGCCCACAGAGCTGCAGTAAACCCTCCTTCATGAAGGTGATGACATCCAGTGTGTGCTTCACCTGTGTGCTCACTATGCAGGCTGCAGGTTGTGCTGCTGTTCACCTGCACGGTGATACATTGAGAGCTGTTCCTGGTGTTCAGCCAAGCCTGTCACATTTACTGGTAAGGTTCACTTTTATCTCTTACCACTTTCCTGGGACACGTCCTGGACAGACCTTTGTACTCTGACACACAAAATATAGACGGTGTGTGGAGACAGCTAAGTGCCAACTCATTTAGCTGAGTTTTTAAGGGAAAAAAACAGACATTACATCAGAAATTGTGTGTAGCTCCTTCAATTTAATGTAAAGGCAAACAGAGCCAACAAGCTCCACTTAAAATAAATATTGATTTCGTAATGTAAGTTTCAGTCACATCATTTGTTTTGTTGT